TATCTCATAATTATGAGATACTATCTCATAATAATGAGATAGCTAAGTCATAATTATGAGATACTATCTCATAATAATGAGATAGCTAAGTCATAATAATGAGATACAAGTTTTATTTTTTATCAGGGTGGCGGAAATTGGCTTCCACATATTTTATATTTAATTAACTATATATTTAATAAAAAATATCTATCTAATAGACAACACTGCAAACAAGTTCATATCAAGCTCGGATTATTCAAGTCAAAATACACAAAATCACAATTTAAAAATGAAAGAATTTGACCTGCACATTTGTGCAAATTACAGTATATAGTTGGAAATAAAGGACCAACCGAAGAATTTTTTGTGTTGCTACAACACAATAGATTGCTGCAGCACAATAAAGTCTCTTGCGTGAGTTTTCATGGTCCCACAAACCCCAGTTTTCTTCTTTCTTCAGCAGTGACGTAATAAACTCCCGCGCTTTAGTAATTTGCTAGCAGCAAATAGGTAGATTCGATTCACTTTCTCTGTGGATTCAAGCCAATGAGTACAGATGATTCCTATCAGCCAATCGTGTGCCTCTTCTACAAGTTCTTGGACCAATCAGCGACGAGTAGAGTTGGTAAAATCAGCCAATGGGAGTATAGTAAGTTTGTGAGACCAGTGAAGTGTCAGCCGGGTCCATTTCGCCGCTTCTCCGCCCGCCCGGCTGGTGGTGGCTCTTTTTTTTTGGATCTCACGGCAATGGCGGAACAGCAGCAGTTTTACCTCTTGCTGGGTAATCTTATGAGTGCTGACAACAACGTCAGGAAACAAGCAGAGGTAAGAAAAGGCGACATTTTCGCGACGGGAGAGCGCTGAAACCAAAACRCCTCACCGCCCTGAGTGCGGCCGCGCGCTCTGAGCTCTCGCGGCAGACTCCGTAGCCCACGTGCGACGTGAATCACACTAATGGTCAGCTAAGGCTAACTATTAACACGTTGCGTAGTTATGTGGTCACAGTGTAGACTGTTGGCAGTGTGGGTTCTGTGCTGACAGCGCTTTTGTCTCCGCGCTGCTCGTTTGATTAGAGAAGTCGGGGGGTGAAAGTGAAACGGTTCAGTTCGCCAGGTCCTAATCTCAAAATCTCCCAGCTGACGGCGAAGCTACAGGAAGTAGCATGGAGCTAAAAGCTAACGCCGCGTTAGCGCCCAGAGCGCTGACTCGCTTGTTACACATGCGGGGAATTTGGTGCTGAAGTGCGACAACAGAAAACCAGAAGCGGCTCATTTATGGGTGACATGTTGGAAATAAACATGCAAAGGCTTTGAGTCATTTCAACTAAAAATGTACAGTACTGTCAACCAATTAGACACAGTTAGCTCTTCATATTAGACTTCCCATTAAGTCCCTACGCACAGGCTCACTAGATAATTAGGGTTTCCTGGGGATTTGTTTGGTCACTAAGCTGGACCATTCACTTTCTCCCCATCACGATTAGCCTCTTCCTGCAGCAAAGCTTTGTTTTCTTCCTCACTAAGGGCCCGACTTTGGGGATAATGTGGTTGAATCTTATCACGGACGCTCCCGTGATTAGCAGTCAGCGTTTTTCTTTGTAAAACACAGACTGAGTGCCGTGATGCTAAGCCCAGTGGTATTCARTATGGCAGGCCTTTGTGTCACATAAATCAAACCACTGAACATAATTCTTTTTAAAAGGAGAAATAACTTTCGTGTTGTATTATTGTTTGTAAATCTTAATGTATGAATGACATTCCATAATATCAAAAATAAAAGTATTAAAAGTCTGGAATTGTTGCTCCATTTTGGAAACTTAAACAGCCTTCTATATTGAACAAAAGGATGATCATACTTGTGGATATGTGAAGCTGCAAGTCTGAGCATGTGAATCGAAGAGAAAAACACAATTTCTAATTAAAAATGTAACTAAATGTTTTGAAAATCTCTGCCTGCTACTGTACAAGTTTGCCTGCTGTACTTATCCTTTTTGTAGAAACTTCCACTTTCAGTCTGAACAAGATTTCAGTTCTGTATTTTTACATATTGCCTTCATTAATCCTGTGTTATCAACCAAAATATAATGTATACATCAGACTATGGAGTCTGGATCAGTGTGAATCAGTGATTTCAGTCTGATCTCTGATCCCAAGAGTTACGTCTGCGTCGAAGGCTGATACCAGTATTGAACTGGATCAGTCCCAACTCTAGCATCACTTCCTCTTCCCAGCAACATGTGTAGAATTTAGACTTGTTCTCGTAACCAAATTTAAAGTATCCTTTATGTCTTAATTGAATGCAGTCTACTGGCAGGACTCTGTAATTTTTTTTATTTATTTGAGGATTTGCAATCTCTTACAGGGCATATATTTTTCACAGACTGTAAACAACCCACAACTCGTGACYGAGGGCATATTTACAATTGGAACAGATGGCTGCTGTAAAACAAGTACTGTAGGATATTTATAAGTATCTACTTGTGCAAATAAATACTACAACTGCGGTTTTAAATAAAACTAAAGTCCAAAAGTTTGACCAGTGAAAACATTGACTGAACCTTGGATATTATAAAATATTGGTTATAGCAGGTAGAAAACACCTTGCARTTTATATACCTTTGGCTCAGCCTGTAATCCAATTTCATCACAACATAGTGTTGCCACACTGATAATCTGATCTTGTTTGTAATGCAAAAATATTCACCTGACAACGCCCAGTAGTCACTAAAGGATGTTAAATGCTTCTGAGTCTTGTAATCTTGCTCCCAGATAAAAGAAACGTGCGTGTGTGTGTTTACCTTTTTAGCACCACCTGAAACTGGGTGTACCTTAAGACACGCCCATGTAACTGCATCCCCAGTTTTGTGTGTGTAAAGCTGTATGTCTGAGACTTATCGGCCTGCATTTYTTTTCTTTGCAGGAGACCTATGACACGATCCCGGGACCGAACAAGATCACATTCCTGCTGCAGGCCGTCAGAGATGCATCAGCTGCAGAGGAGGTCCGTGCAGTAAACATGACCACAACTCTGACATGTTTTAAATTCTTTCAGGGAGTAAAGCATTCCTCTAGACACCATGCCATACATTTATTATTTATTGTCTTGAAAATAGTTTTAACTTCTTTGTGTTTTTTGCGATTGTTGAAACTGAATTCTGTTTTTCTTTCCTGCTTTGAAATCGTGCAGCACTGGAGGTGTTTAAAGAATCTGATCTTATGTACACTAACAAGGAATKCTCGTCATGACTCATCGTTCTGCCATGTAGTCTGTTAAGTTTACTGTGACTTGACCAGCTGCTCGATCCCTCGTGCTTCCTTTCTTTTCCTTTACTTCAAGGCTGATATATTTTTAGCCTCTTGAAATGGGAGCAGGCAGTGAGGTGTTTAGCCCAGAGCGAGTGACTCTGCCTTTTTAAGATGCTGCCAGCGTTGTCGTTGTGGCTTTATTGCCCGAGTTAGCATCTATGTCTAACTCACGAACGTGCTTTTGTGTCGTCGCCTCAGGTCAGACAAATGGCGGCAGTGTTGTTGCGGCGGCTGCTGTCGTCGTCCTTTGAGGAGATCTATCCAGGTCTGACGCTGGAGATGCAGACGGCCATCAAGGCGGAGCTGCTGACCAGCATCCAGCAAGCGAACTCTCCGAACATTCGCAAGAAGGTCTGCGACATTGCAGCTGAGCTCTGCCGCAACTTGATCGGTAAAGCTGGTTTAACCTCTATGTGCAAGATCCCCCGTCTTGCCTCTGGATGCATCAATTACTCTGAGTCATCACAGTTGATGTTGAGATTAAAGATCTGTCTTCAACTCCAGATGATGATGGGAACAACCAGTGGCCAGAGCTGCTCAAGTTCCTGTTCGACTCTGTGAACTCTGACAACGTTGCCCTGCGAGAAGCTGCCCTGCACATATTCTGGTGAGCTCCAGTTCCACATTCCACTCAAACTAATCCGGTCAGGCRGACCCACTCGTGGCTGACAGGTGTCTCGTCTTGTTTACGATTTTTAGGAACTTTCCAGGAATCTTTGGCAACCAGCAGCAGCATTATCTGGAGGTTATCAAACGTATGCTTGTTCAGTGTATGCAGGATCAAGCAAACCCACAGGTAAATTTACCGTGACGTCACCCCACAAAGGGTCTCGAGCACCAGTTTGTCATGGTTTTGCCGTCAGTCTTCAACAGTACAGTGTATTTTCAATCCTAGATCCGCACCCTGGCAGCTCGAGCCGCAGCGTCCTTTGTTTTGTCAAATGAAAGCAACACCGCTCTGCTGAAGCATTTCGCTGACTTGCTGCCTGGAATTTTGCAGGTAAGACGCAGCACCTAATCTATATCCTGGTTGCACATTTTCAGCACTAACATCTGCGTTTTATCTTTTGGTCAGGCTGTGAACGAGTCGTGTTATCAGGGAGACGACTCTGTGCTCAAGTCTTTAGTGGAAATCGCAGACACGGCACCCAAATACCTGCGACCAAACCTGGAGGCGACGCTGCAGCTGTGTCTGAAGGTGCGTTCGGTCGTTAGCGTTAAGCAGAAGAGACGTTTGTCTCGGTGCTCGTTAGATAAACGTCCGTGTCCCGTCTCCTCAGTTGTGCGCCGACTCGAACTTGACGAACATGCAGAGGCAGTTGGCGCTGGAGGTCATCGTCACGTTGTCCGAGACGGCGGCGGCCATGCTGAGGAAACACACGGCCATCGTAGCTCAGAGCGGTGAGGACGTGGTTCATCGGTGAGGAGATGATGTAATTGGCAGGATTTCTTGTAGCTAATAGCGTTGTCGTCTCAGTGCCCCAGATGTTGACTATGATGGTGGACCTGGAGGACGATGAGGAGTGGGCGCAGGTTGATGAGCTGGAGGATGATGACTTCGACAGGTACGACATGTCTTTAGAAACWCTGAGGAATGAGGTTGTTAAACAGACGCTGCCTGTAAATGGCTCATTGTGTTTCTTGTGGTTTATCAGTAACGCTGTGGCCGGTGAGAGCGCCCTCGACAGAATCGCCTGTGGTTTGGGAGGAAAAATCATTTTGCCCATGATTAAACAACACATCATGCAGATGCTGCAGAACCGTGAGTATATCTGCTGGTTGTATGTTTTTAAAATCTGTGACTTACCTTTTGGGAGTTGGGTTATTATGTTTACTGCATTTGATGCAAGGTTTCAAGTTTAATTGTGTTTGCTGCTAGCTGACTGGAAGTACCGCCATGCTGGGCTGATGGCGCTGTCTGCAATCGGCGAGGGTTGCCACCAGCAGATGGAGGCCATTCTCCAAGAAATCGTCAGCTTTGTCCTCCTGTTCTGCTCCGACCCTGTAAGAAATATTCAGCTTTTCTTATCAGCTCTGTTCAAAACAACCTCTTTGTGTCCGTATTAACTTGTTTTAAATTTAGTTTTCTCTTTGCTTCCCAGCACCCGAGGGTGCGCTATGCTGCCTGTAATGCCATTGGACAGATGGCCACAGACTTCGCTCCAACCTTTCAAAAGAAATTTCACGACAAGGTACCTGAGCAGCTGTTTTTTTTTAGTTAATAAAGTAGCAGGTTACTGTTAGACAGTAGTTGAGAATGACACATTGTTTTCTTTTTAAGGTCATCTCAGCCCTGCTCCAGACGATGGAGGACCAGAGTAACCCTCGGGTGCAGGCACATGCTGCTGCCGCTCTCATCAATTTCACAGAGGACTGTCCCAAATCCCTGCTCATCCCTTACCTGGAYAGCTTGGTGCAGCACCTTCATGTCATCATGGTCGCCAAGTTGCAGGAGGTAGAAAGCTGTTTTCAGAGTTCCCACGGGTCCTTGAAAATCCTTGAAAGTTTGTGAAAACAGCCAAAAATTACACTTGTCCTTAATTGTTTTTTTTGGGGGGGGGATTGAAATTCTCTATTCACATGACTGATTTAATCATCTTAAAAAAATTATAAAATAAAAAAAACATACATTTGTTGCGGTGGATAACTCAGGATTACAGTAAACTGACGTCATTGTCTCTGACTCAACTTCTATRTTCAGTTTTTCATTGAATTACATGACATTAAACCTGTTTATTGGTAACATTCTGTGATAGCMGTAGGTAAATTGCGTGGTTCTTTAATTTGAGGAAATTGGTACTGGAAAGYCCTTGAAAGGTCCTTGAATTTGATGGTGACCAAGGTTTGGGAACCCTGTCATATCTGGTTTGTTCTCTGCACCAGCCACAGCTGTTGAACACCTCCCAACTTGTTTTTGCTGCTCTCGTCAGCTGATCCAGAAGGGAACCAAACTGGTCCTGGAGCAGGTGGTGACGTCCATCGCCTCTGTGGCCGACACGGCCGAGGAGAAGTTTGTGCCGTACTACGACCTGTTCATGCCCTCCCTCAAACACATCGTAGAAAACGCCGTGCAGAAGGAGCTCCGGCTGCTTCGAGGGAAAACCATCGAGTGCATCAGTCTAATCGGCCTGGCTGTCGGCAAGGATAAGGTGTGTTTAAACCTGAGGTTAACCTGTTGGAAGACCGGTTTACTTCCTCGTTCAGCCCTCACTCTTCTTCTCTTGTACTAGTTCATGCCAGATGCCTCTGCAGTGATGCAGCTGCTCCTCAAAACCCAGACGGACTTCAACGACYTGGAGGACGATGATCCTCAGGTAGGAATGCTTGAAAATAAAAATTATCGTTCATGATGCCTTGTTTTAGAACTAATCCTGCCAAAATGTATTTGTTTTAGATCTCATACATGATATCAGCCTGGGCCAGGATGTGCAAGATCCTGGGGAAGGAGTTYCAACAGTACCTGCCCGTGGTGATGGGTCCCTTAATGAAGACCGCCTCCATCAAGCCTGAGGTGGCTCTGCTCGACAGTAAGTCACCAGACTTTCTGATGAAGGTTTAAAACCACTGTGTTTGGATCAGAGCTGGAGWGGTGGGACTGAATGTCTTCTCTTCAGCTCAGGACATGGAGAACATATCAGAGGATGAAGGATGGGAGTTTGTAAACCTGGGAGACCAGCAGAGTTTTGGGATTAAGACAGCCGGCCTGGAGGAGAAGGCCACAGCCTGYCAGATGCTGGTGAGCAGACGAGTTTTGAGAATCTGTGAAATAAAACCTGWCTTWTGTTTCTGTTAATAAAACYTCTCTTGTCCCGGGTTTCTTYCTCAAGGTTTGCTATGCCAAAGAGCTAAAGGAGGGTTTTGTGGAGTACACCGAGCAGGTGGTGAAGCTGATGGTTCCTCTGCTGAAGTTTTACTTCCACGATGATATCCTTTTACCTGGTTAAAACTTCACACATCTGCTGTCTAAAACTGGGACTATTACATCCACGTTTGAACGCTCAGTAAATACAGGCTTAAAAATAAGATGTCGTTTCTTTAACCATGTCACGTGTGCGAGTGGCAGCAGCCGAATCAATGCCCCTGCTGCTGGAGTGCGCTCGGGTCCGAGGACCGGAGTACCTGACCCAGATGTGGCACTTCATGTGCGACGCCCTCATCAAGGCCATCGGCACAGAGCCCGACTCGGACGTTCTGTCAGAGATCATGCACTCTTTCGCCAAGGTAACTCGACACGTTTTGGAACCAGAGACACTCGTAAAGCTTGGACACGTTATAAAGGATGTTTTCTGTCTGAACTGTTTCAGTGCATTGAGCTGATGGGAGACGGCTGTCTGAACAACGAGCATTTTGAGGAGCTGGGCGGCATCCTTAAAGGGAAGCTGGAGGAGCACTTTAAAAACCAGGAGCTAAGACAGGGTGAGGCTTCTGAATATTGCCCCGTTTGAGCTTAGAGATACAAAATTTGAACGGTGTTTAATGAAAAAACACCTGTGCTTCACAGCAAAGAGACAGGATGAAGATTACGATGAGCAAGTGGAGGAAACACTACAAGATGAGGTAAGAAATATTCAGTTTTACTTTAGGCCAAGGCTATTCAACTAAATTGCTCCGGGGGCCACAATTACTGCAGGCTAATAACAGCTGAGGGGCTGAACATCCAGCAGTTAGTCATTATGTAAATAAACCAAGTATTACAAAGATCTGTTACCTTTTGAAATAGTTTATTGTGCTGCATTTAATCATGAATACAACATACAGAACCCTATAAAACTAGTGATAATTAAACAATATCAAAAACAAAAATAACGCATTATGCCTCGTATTTAACACAAATATTATTTTGTCATCTCTGACTTGCCAAATTTTTAAACCAAATTTTTTCACTTTCATAGTTGTATCTTCAACTGCTTGTAGTTTTAACTGTCTTGAGTGTKYATAGAAATGTTTTTACCAGCTTGTAGCCAAGATTCTGAYRTTTCTGTAAAYACCMAACATGTCTATGTTTAACTAAAGGAACTTATAGTAATTAAAGTAGAAAACTGGAGGGTTTGGGCTTAAGAGATGAATGAACCAATTGGCGGGCCGAGCTTTGGTCACTCGAGGGCCATCAGTTGAATAGCCCTGATATAGACGACAATCATTTTTAAATGTTTCCAGCCTTCATGGTCTTCTGTTTGTAGGACGAGAATGAYGTGTACATCCTGACCAAGGTGTCGGACATCTTGCACTCGGTGTTCAGCAGCTATAAAGAAAAAGTGCTTCCTTGGTTTGAGCAGCTGCTGCAGCTCATCGTCCAGCTYATAGTAAGTCAGATAAGATGGTAATGAGTTGTTTTCCACCAGGAGCAGGAAGTGAACGTGTTTCGCTTGTCTTCAGTGTCCTAACAGACCATGGGCAGACAGACAGTGGGGTTTGTGCATTTTTGATGACGTCGTAGAACACTGCAGCCCCTCCTCCTTCAAATATGCAGAGTACTTCCTGAGGCCRATGCTGCAGTCTCTCTGTGACTCCAGCCCAGAGGTTCGGCAGGCGGCTGCTTATGGCGTTGGGGTCATGGCTCAGTTTGGAGGAGAGAATTATCGCCCTTTCTGCACAGGTGTGACTGATTATTTGTTTACTCTCTTTTTTTTTTTTTTTTTTTTTAGTTCCAGTTTAACTGACTTGGTTTCTGGTTGCAGAGGCTCTCCCCTTGCTGGTCGGAGTCATCCAGGCAGCCGACTCGCGGTCGAAGGAGAACGTCAACGCCACAGAGAACTGCATCTCTGCCGTCGGGAAGCTCGTGAGGTTCCGGCCCGAGTGCGTCAATGCTAACGAGGTCCTTCCTCATTGGCTCAGCTGGCTCCCGCTCAAAGAAGACAAAGAGGAGGCCGTCCATACGTTTGACTTTCTGTGTGACCTCATCGAAAGGTAGGACYGACTGAACACTTGCCTCCAATACATAAACACTGTTTGTGTTCCTGATGCCGCTTCTCTCCCACAGCAACAACCCCATCGTCCTCGGACCAGACAACTCCAACCTTCCGAAAATTTTCCACATCATAGCCGACGGGGTGGCAAACGAATCTGTTAAAACTGAAGATGCATGCAGTAAGCGTCTCGCAAACGTTATTCGTCAAGTACAGGTGGGCTGTCGGTTTTAGGTTCTGCACTAAATCCACTTTGGTTGATTTTTATTTTTTAAAGCCACTCTGAAAATAAACGTTTGGTTTCCTCCAGGTGTCTGCAGGGTTATGGACTCAGTGTGTTTCAATACTGAACGAGTCACAGCAGAAAGCCATCCAGGATCTACTGAATACTGCCTGAACACCCTCCTCCCTCACTCTCCACACACACACACACACACACACACACACATCTCCCTGCTTGAGGAAAAAAATCCCATGAAGAAAAGTTGAGTTCCTGGATCTTGCACACACTCCCTTCTTCTTCCTCCTGCTCTGATCATGTAGCGTGTTTGGATGCCGGCTTCAGCCCTCTCACCTGTACCTAGGTTAAGCTGATGGAGGGGAGCAGGTTGGACACACACCTGGTGGACATTGGCCAACCACTTCAAAGACTTGGATTCTGTAATTAAGGAAGTGGGAAGAAGAGTCACCCTGTCTAATTAGTGCAACATGTTTATCTGGACTTTTTTTTTTCCCAAACCGTTCCCCAACGCTTGGCCCAGAGGAACTCTGAGTCGCCCAACTCATTGGACTGTCAGGCCCGAGGGGGGAGGGGCTGCAGCGGGGGGGACTTTTTTTGTGGACTGAGCTGCTAAAAGAGGTGCAAGTGCACACTGGGCTACACTGCCTGTCTCCTGTGAATTTTTTTTAATTTTATTTTGTTTCATGTTCTCAGTGCTACCTGGGGAGGTTGTGGCATCTGTCCGCCACAGTTCAGGGGGTAGGATTTAACATAACGGCATGTTTCAGTGGCTAACTCTAGAAAATATACATACTGTAGTTAGATTTACATTAACRTTGCCTGGGAGGGTTGATCTAAGAATCATTTCCTTTGTAGCTTTCCAAACGGAGGGTCGCAGGAAGTGAAACTGTTCCACGGCCCGTTTTCTTATTTTAGGAAGCAGCTGAAGGACAAAGACTGTAACCTGCAGTCGCTCACAGCCTCAAAGTGTGACAGGTCAGAGATACGTGATTGTAAAGAGCGCTACCTTTAAACACAACATCATGATTTTTAACCCTTTGGAGTWGGTCCTGCAGACATGAAAAGGAATTCCAAAAACAATCACCAACAATAAAATAACATTTGAGAATTCTGCTTTTTGTTTGCCTTTTTTATTATTGACGTGAAGGAAAAATGACTACTTGTCTTGTATCTGTTCTTAAACCAATAAACTTTAAAGGTCCAACACTAAATCTTGTCAAGGCATGAACACAAATAGACTGCAGCATGATATGTAATAAAACTTGAACTGCAGTATTGTTTCTGGAAAAACACACTTTCGCAACATTCACAACCATCTATCTGCCAGCTGAGCTTCAAAGGAGTTTTATGATCTAAATCAGATTTTCCCAAAGTGGGGTCCCGAAACATCAAGGTGGGGTCCTGAAAATATTTTCTGAATGAATTATGTTTTTGCCTTGTTACAAAGTGTTAGGTTAGTATATTTAAAATGGATAAATGTAGTAAAAAAATATTGTTACTATGCCCATGTTTTGTTGACCTGATACAAATGTTTATCATCCAAAAATAGCTGGGGCCACAGGTCTTTGCTACTGTTATTTTGTGGGTCAAAAGCTGAAAAGTTTGGGAACCATTGTACTTTGGTTCACAAAGTTGTGCTTGGGACCCAATTATG